GACACTCTATAGCACACAACAACACACAGTCATCCTGCAGGCCAGGAACTGCACTCAGCCACAGGGCCAATGTCCAGTCAAACAAAGGTGAAAAATAACACTAGGCAGGCATGCACCCCTGGGGACAATCAACCATTTGAGACCCAAAAGGCAGTATTTCCCCGGAAATAAAGAGGACAGGGGAGAGGAAGTGGGAAAACAAGAAAGAAAGTGGATAAATGGAGGGACAGGATGCTAAGGATTAAAGGTGGGTAGAACCACCTGAAAAAAGCATCAGGGTGGGTGGAGAAGAGATTGAGGTTGTTAACAGTCACAGCTTGTTCAGCTCCACAATCAACACTCTTGGCACCAGCAGTCAGGGAATCAAACGAGGAACTGCACTGGGAGAATCTGTTCTCAGGGACCTCTCCAGAGTACTGAGAAGCAAAGATGTCAGTCTAGAGACCTGATTCAGGCCACGGTCTTCACTATTACTTGCTATGCATCAGAGAGCTAGCCAATGACTAAGGATGACAGAAGAAGAATTGATGGTTTCGAGCTGTGGTGCTGGAAGGAGAGTCTTGAACATACCATGGACTGCCAAGAAAACAAACAGGTCTGTCCTGGAGAGAGTGAAACCAAGTCTTTCCTCGGAGGACGTTGCAACCAATGGCACGAAACGAAGTAGCACGCATTGTTGAACGGAAATATAATTTGCTCCATAAAGCTCCACCAAAATCAGTAAAAAGTGAAAAAAATAATAAAAGGGAGAGGGAAGAATTCTGTCAATCATGTTGAGATGAGCCGATGGTTGATCTACGTCTTCCCCCCCCCCTTTTATAAACCTCATCGTAACTAGTTTAGTTGAGCCGTTTTATCTCCTCAGGAAGAGAGATTCTCTCCCAGTACGTACACAGAACAAATGTTGCTCGGAACAAACCTAGTTTTCCACTTGAAAAGATCCTGGTTTAGTATACTAGAGACCCTTCGTGGTGGGGACTGGGCATCTGAGCGCCTTCCGACCTAAGACCCATCTCCCTGGGCAAAACTGACCCCAAGCCTGTGGAGAGCGAGAGGACTTCACAAGGGCATTCTCCTTCATCTGTCTTAGTCTGGAAGCTCCAGTGAGACCTTCCCACTGTGGGTGACCCTGTGGGTACTGGGAGCCCCAGGAGGGTGGCTTCCAGCTCCATGGCAACACACAGCCCCACAGTTCAGCAGACTGACAGATGGACCGCAGCCCCTTCCAAGGGCCACGGGTTTCTCATCAACTGTCTAATTAGCACCTTGTTTATTCAGCTCTGTTATGGACCAACATGCTGAGACCCTGTTACAGGAAGGTTCCAGACTTCAAGCTGCTCTAGCCTCTGGCATTCTCTTCAAAGTTACAAAATGCTGACATCCTGGGGAGATGGACTGGCCTCAGCTGTTTGTTTGGCTCAGAGCTCCTCGTTCACCACACTCTCTTCCTGGCAGCTTTCTGGTCCCGCTCAAAATGGAAGAAAATCATAAAAGACAACAGTGTAATGTTTGTGGGACGCACATTCTGTCGTCGATGAGCCGTGAGCCTGACCAAAGTCCTCTGAGTTCTCGCTCCTTTGTTCCTGTTGGGTGTTTTTTGTTTTGTTTTGTTTTTTCCTGGAGAAGCACACTGTGAAATCTGGGCACAAAATCCATAAGAAGTTTTATTGATTGCTGTATGGATTTCTGTGAAAATGCGGAAGGAAGTAATTTGTGATTGCTGGGGGGGGGGGGGGGGTCCTTTCCCAGATCCTGAATACTAAGTTACTGACCCAGCTGTGGCTTTATGGGACACCTTGTGTCAATTCCTTTCCTGTGAGTCCCAAGGACCCCTCATGAGCTGTAAGAAGTTATCCAAACTCTAGGCGTGACTGGGGTCAGTCAAGCCCTCCCCACTATGTTCCTGCGATGGTTCATTTGTGACAACTTGGTGAGGCTGCAGGATAACCATGATTCTATTGCTGTTCCATATACAATGTAATGTGATGTGATATGTTGTAACCATCGTCCATAATGAGCCTCATGTCTCACATGTAACTCACTGCTTCTAGAAGACAAATGTGCAGGGCTCCCAGGGTCTGCATAGAACCATTTAGCACCGAGTGACTAGTATAAGAATATGGTGCTTCACTGTTCCGGGATCAGTTAGTTGAAAGGGAAGATTCCCGGTGTGCAGTCTGATTCGGTTCGTAAGTAAATCTTTAGAAAGAACTCTCCCTCTCTTCACTCTCTCTGACACCTGGTTTATGGCTCTTGGGACTCAAGTTGCAGAAGTCTCTAGTCTGTTGTCTCATCTATGAATTTTAGACCTGTCAGCCCTCCAAATTGCCTGAGCTAGCCCTTCGAAGGAAACAAATCTCTGTCTGGACTAAGCGGGGCTTCAGAACAGCATCACTGCTCTCTCCATATAGAATCAAATACGAGAGGATTGTTAAAGTCTGGCTTGCTTAGAGAAGATGTGCTTTAAAAGAACCCGGTGGACAGACTGACCTGTAGGTCTTCCAGTTAAGATCCTGAGAATGTGGGCCCAGCCCCGGCTTTAGGACTTGCATTAAAAACCAAGCCCCATGCTACTGAGTTGATAGCAACCACAGGCAACCAGGCTTCCAAGGCTTCACGTCTTTATAGAACTAGTCAGCCTCATCTTCCTTCCCCAGATCAGATGGTGGGCTCAAAACACCAACCTCTGAGTTAGCAGTCCAACATTTAATGCACTATGCCAGTAAATAAAGACGTCAATAATAATAACAGGAAGAGGTACAAAGCAGCTACTAAATAAATATACGCTTGGATAGTGTCTAGTGAAAGAAAAATCCATGTTCCTCCTTACTGAATTATAGCAATAGCTGCTGGAAAAACGAAAAAAAAAAAAAAAATGCAAGCAAGCAGAATTTTAACAAGCTAGAGACTATGCAAGGTGTCTACACAGGGGTTCCTCACCTCCCGTTACCCTAGGACAGCCCTAGACACCCAGGGCCCCCCTTTACAGATGGGAAAACAAGGCTCTGGGGACAAAAGGCCTCTTTGACAGAGCTGGACCCACCCCCCAAAGCCTGCTTTATTCCCAACATCTAAGCTCACGTCTGAGCACAGATCTGAGGTGTCCTAGGCCTTCTTTTCTTCTAGACACCAAGTTCTCAGTATAAAGGAATTATCCATAAATAGATGAATGTGCAACATGGCACAAGACAGGGCAGGGTTCAGGTGGGCTGATCTCAGGATTGCTGAGTCATACTCCTTATAACAACCTCAAGGCACATACCCAGGGTCCTTGCTCCCAGGAAAACTTACTCCAACCGCGCTCCAGTTTGTGGTCACTAGAGGGCACTGCAGGTCCAGAAAAGGCGGCCGGGTCATTGCCAAGCTCTTGGTCCCTCAAAGCAGGAAGCTCAAAGGGAAGTTTACAGACACTTCACATTCTCACTTTGTTTTTGTTTTTCAGAATCTTTTCTCCTCATGTGGTTCATGGTCTAGCAGATTGTGAGGTCCCATCACCATAAACCACAGACTGAGGCAGTAGTCCACCAGCAGGAAACCTCACCCCAACGCCCAGCCCACTGTTGACCGGTGGTGTGCTCACCCAGGAACAAGGGAGGCCTGGAGGGGCTCTGGGCTCAGCACTCCCTCCCCGCTGCCCCTGACTCCACTTGGCGGGCTCCAAACCAGGTTCAAGCACCAGCCATCTGCAACTATGCTTATCAGTGTCAGAGTGTTGATCACAAACCCAGCAAGACCAAGTGTGGGGCTGGTTCAGGCGGTCAACACTTGTGCATACTGTCTCTTTTAATCCCCGGACACCAACCCACCCACTGCGTTCAGCTGATTCCCCTCAGGGTGACCTTGTAGGACAGGCAGGAGCTGCCTTATAAGGTTTCCAAGGTTCTCATGCTTCAGGGCTCCTTCTTTATCCCCCATGTAACCTCATGTAATAGGAACCACTATCACCCTTTTACAGAAAAGGAAACTGAGGCTCAGAGTAGCCCAGAAATGTGTGGTTAAAGAAGACAGAGGCAGAACCTGAACTGTGTCTGTTCAACCACAGAACCCAGGAGCAAGTCTGCAATCTGTCCAGAGACGGGAAGTGGTCATGCTGCTTCTCCACAGTCAATCAATCAATCATGCGCTCTCTCCTCCTCTCCACCACACACACACACACACACACAACCAGCCCACAAGGCCATATCTCTTTCCAACAAGAGTTAGCAATTAACACCACAGTGCACTTCCTGGTCGCCAGTCTCTCCTCTACATGTTACCGTGCACCGAGAAGTGCCACCCTCTCTGGGTGGCTGTAACTCACTCACCCTCTGACCGGAAGTCATTCCAAGTCTCACAAATGCCACTGGACAGAGGGTGGAGGTGGGACCTCAGCCTCCCTCATGGAAGTCTCTAGATGTGAACGTGCTGAGAACAGTCACTGGACTAGTGCTCTCATGGCTCCGCCCCTGGGACAAGGAGGGCTGACTGAGAGCCTTCCCACTGGCATGAAGCACAGTGTGCACACGGGCCTTGCCTGGACCACTGGACCCTCTCCCAATCAGACGGCATGGCGTTCCGTCTGTAAGAGCCTGGACTCCCAGGTCACCATCAAGGCCAAGTGCATGGTGGGGCCTCGGGCTGCCTCTCTTGGTGAGTAGTTCTTCACTGGCCTTGGAGAACCTTCCCAAAAAGCTGCACTTCCCAGGCACAACTCCAATGCCAGCTTCTCCAGCAGAACCTTCCCTGAATCCCTAAGACATTCAGTCTTGCCTCTCAGTCCTCCACTTCCTGTCTCCACCTCCTCTCCACCTGCCGACCACAAAGCATGTTCCCACATCCCACCTGAGTGGCAGGAGACACAGAAGTCCCGGTACTCAGCACAGAAGACCCCTTCTCCCCACCTCTAACTCATCCCAGGACATGCATGGTAGCACACACCTCTCCCACACCCACATTCCTACATCCTATCTCCCAGCTGTCTCTCCAACCCTCAGGAGAGTGAGATAAAGAGGGCCACGTACCTTCTCACCCTTTTCTCCTTGGACGAAAGGCCCTCTGCCCTAGAAAGAAACAAAGAAAACAAAGTTTCAAAGAGAGACTTTCAAGGGCATGATGTCACACAGCCAGCGCCAGTCACCTGGGATTCAGAGTGGCAGGGCTGTCCTCTTCGCCACCATGGAGGCCCTGACAGATGATGGGCATCACTCTCACCTCCACCCTGGGAGCTCTGACAGAGATGACAGGCACTCTCCTCACCTCCACCCTGCACGCTCTGACAGAGATGACAGGGCACTCTCCTCACCTCCACCCTGCACGCTCTGACAGAGATGACAGGACACTCTCCTCACCTCCACCCTGGAGGCCCTGACAGAGATGACAGGCACTCTCCTCACCTCCACCCTGGAGGCCCTGACAGAGATGACAGGACACTCTCCTCACCTCCACCCTGCACGCTCTGACAGAGATGACAGGGCACTCTCCTCACCTCCACCCTGCTCACTCTGACAGATGACAGGACACTCTCCTCACCTCCTCCCTGGGGGCCTGACAGAGATGACAGGCACTCTCCTCACCTCCACCCTGCTCACTCTGACAGAGATGACAGGACACTCTCCTCACCTCCACCCTGCTCACTCTGACAGATGACAGGACACTCTC